AAATATCTGTTGCAATTTTGGCGAGAGGTTGGCGCCTTTTTCTGGGAATGATCTGCAACAGATATTTGCTACAGATTTTCTGTTGCAAACTATCCGCAACAACTTATTCAACCATTGCAACGGCCAAATCAGTTGCTTTAATTCTGTTGCTAAAATAACATTTTTTACTACATATTTTTTACTTGTAATGTTATAATTTTGACTACATGTATTTCAGAATTATTGTATTTCAAACTTATATGTTACTATTTTTGATGCATATGTTGCGATTAAATAAATTTGAATGTAAATAATTCTACTAATTTGACTTTTTTAGTTGTTTGGCTGCAAATTAATTGTATACATATTTAAATAAATAATTATTATCACATATACACAAATACACTATTATATAAATTACATACTGAGTATTACGGGGTATAATTTAGTTTACTTTTTTCAAATTAGACAAAAATGAATTTAAAATAAATTGAAAGTAAAAATGAAACAAAAAAAATAAATTAATTTGAAATCTTAAAAAAACTAAAAATGTAATTAAAACTTATTAAAAAGATTGGATGACTGATTTATTTGAATAAAAACATGAGTACAAAATAATAGTGTACTCTTTCTGTCCTATAAAATTGGTGACACTTTGATGTCACAAATCTTAAGAGAGTTGTTAAAAGAGAGTAAAAAATACAGAATATGTGGTTAAAACTAAATTTGTTTAAATTATTGAGAATTGTTCGTAGACACATATTCTTTACCTAAATAGGAAATAAAGTAAGTATAAAGAATTTCATGGGATCTGGAAAATTAGAAAAAGTGTAAGTAATTTTAATAGAGGAAGGAAATATATTTTTAAAATAAATAAATGTTATTCCCCAAAACACAGTCATATAAAATATATATTAAAACATAATCTAATGTTTTTTTATTCAATTTAGATTATTTGAATAAATGTTATTCTCCAAAGTCACTTTTTTGAGTTTGAGACTAATTTAAAGATAAAAATAAAGGGG